TAACTGATCCCGGAGCATAAGCAGTGAGGGACGTGCAAACTGACGGCTCCTCGGAGTTTGACGATCATGTCTTCTGAAGACTTGGTTTAATGCTTCGTTGTTGGATACTTGTGGATTAGTGGAAAATGGAAATGACATGTCTGACCTCAACCAGAACGCAACACAAAGTGCTCTCTCTTGAGTAGGTTGTGCTTTTAATTCTCAAGTATTCATGAGATTAAAATTTCTTATCCTTACCCTCCACTTCATTAAGAGATGATTCCCCACAAGGATGCCTTCCTTTCTCTCGTCGCTTTGTAACGCTATCGAATGATAGCTCGTGGAGAAAACTGTGCGCCAGTCTTTCAACTTGGACTCGGCTGATTGCACGTTCTATAAAGTCATGAAGGAGGAAGACACTGCCATGTGCAGCGCTGAGTGTGGGCTGTAGATTCTACATCTGAAAATGTGAAAAGGGAGGATCCAACCAAGTTATATTTTCCACTTCCCCCGTGCTTACAATCTTCTGTAAAATCATGTCTACTCATCTGAATCGGAGAGTTAGAGAGCGGATTTGTTCCCTGGCTAATTACTAATGTGAACAATGGTCACTTAGTAGCAGTAGAGGTAACAGTGCTAACTCAAAGGCAAGGCATTACCTGACTCTTGCTTTGTATAGATTTATAATTGCCTTGCACTATTACCAAAATCGGGGAGTTTTTATAGTTTCATGTATATGTATAGGCTCGCTCCTGCCCGGCCCCACAGGCACATTCATTAGTGATAGAGCTGTTGAGAGCTGGTATTGAACCTACAACAAAATTACTGCGCCACATCTTTAAGCAGGTTCAGGACAATACGTGTGCTTTTTGGAAGCAAACCAAGGGCACATTTCTCCGGGTTCTCCTTCTACAGTTGTATTTATAATAGATGAAAAATAAGCCGGATTGTGCATCACCCCCCACCTTTTGTAGTCTTAAACCACGTATTAAATTCTTGGCCCCAATCGCATAGGGGAATTTAAAGTGAAATCGCATGGTATTAACCACGTTGAGCTTATTTCTGGAACCCTAACTGTGCTGAAAGAAGCTTGCATGTTTATAGCGGTCACTTAAAGCTCTGTGATAAAATAGTAGAATACTTTTACACACACTTTGATCATTAGTGACTTTCATCCAAAAAAAAACCCAGCCTATGAATATAAAACTTTGAGCATTATACCTAAGTGGATTCGTTAGGAGATATAGTAATAAATAACATGATCTTGACACATTCTTCATTTCTAAGTCTATGAGCATAAGCTAGAAAACGATCTTGCCAGAGTCTTTCTTGTGCCTGTTTAAAGAAAATATGTAATGCTCAGTAGAAATGAGAAAAAATATATAGAGAAAGAATCTGTATATTCCCTGAAGTTGAGGGGCCACAGTGTCTGGGCCTCATTAATGAATTAAAGGGTCATTCAATAGTCTCTATTTTGACTCAGTATGCCAAATTTCTGTGTTGGTATCTTTGACTTGCTAATATTATCTATAATACAAGAATTTATTTTCTCTTCTTGAAATCAGCCACATAATTGAAATTCTCAAGTTACTGAATGTTTTATTAAATCTGTGACAGTCCGCGGTTCTCCTTCTGGCGAATGCTGCCTTTCACTCGCCTTGAGGGTAATTTATAAATACGGTTGCATGACGCATGATGTTTCAAGTAGCAGGCCGTTTTATGCATCTGGCAAATTATAACATAGAGGGGCTTCGTATGTCTTGAAAGACAGTTGAGAGAAACATTTCCCATTTACCAGTTTAACTAAATTAATACCTCACATTCCTTCCTTTCATAGGCTTCCAAAGTGGCAAATTACGCCAAGTTGCAGAAAATATGTGACTTCATGTTTCTTATTTTTGCCATAGTTTTCACCACGACACGGCTTGTGATCTTTCCTCTCTGGTGAGTATGCAGTCTCCTTTCCAAATAGATTTTATGAACGGCAACACTTTGAACCCCTCTCCAGATCCTTAGCAAAAAGTTTAAAGAATGTGGGTATGAGCCCCCCACCCCCGCTTTAAAAAAAAGAACAAAACCCCCCTTGACTTTGCCTTTCAGAAGAAAGTCGCCCCCTCCAGATTCCTTCGCCCTCAAAGCTGAACCGTGGTCTGGGCGGCTTAAAGACAACAGGAGGAGAGTGGCACTGAACTGGACTTGGACTCTTGTGACAAGTTCACTTCAAACACACACACACACACACACACATACACGAAAGTTGTACTCTTTCTTAATATTTTCCACAGGATCATTTTAGAGGGATGTGGCTTACAAGAATTCTGAAGCCACAGAAGGCCATCTGCCAGTGTCGGTGCTGGTTTAGACTGCTCAAAAACCCAGTTAAAAGTATGGGATTAAGACAGGCAGTATGCTGCAGCCAGTACATGCCAGAGATAGTCCTGTATCAGAGTTCTCAAAGACTTAACCCTAGACAGGTACCATCCACACCACCTGAGGAAGGGTGAGAAATTAGAAGTCATTGATGCCTAATCCAGACCCTACTGAATCAGAGGCTGGAAATGTGGCTGGCAATCCAACGGTGTCTTGAACCTGGAGCCCCAGCAGCATAGCGGGCACGTCTTGAGCTGCTAACCGCAAGATCCGCAGTTCGAAACCACCAGCAGCTCCGCTGGGGAAAGACATGACTTTCCGCGCCCGTAAAGAATTCCGTTTCAGACACCCACAGGTGCGGTCCACCCTGACGCACAGGGCCGCTACAGGCCCTAGCTCACTCGATAGCAGAGTTTGGGGTTGTTGTTTGCTTGTTTTTTTCATATAGGTGACTCTGCCATGTGTTAAAGTTTGAGAACCCCTGCCCTGTATAATTCTGCACATGGCTAAAATTTACAGGTAGATGGAAGCTACACCTAAAAAAATACCAAAAAACCCCCTGAAATTCTCGACAGCTTGTTACTCTCTGGAGACCTTTCCTTTGGAGAACGTAGGAAAGGATGTGACAGATTTTTAGGAAATTTAGCAAACTTTTCTATAGAAATTTAGCAAACTTTTCTATAGTATGGATGTTACAAATGATTTGAACTCTTCTATCCTAAAAGTTGGCAATTCAAACCCACCCTAGCAGTAAGTCATAATGTCTGACAAGCTGATTCCATAAAGATTCTATCAGATATTCTACTTGGTAACACAGGGCATCATGAGTTGGAAGTGACTTGATGGCAATGGAAATGTTTGTTGTTTTTTTACCAACTTAAACTCCATGATGGAAGATTTTTTTTCCCATTAAAAAACATATTTTTGAATGGCAAATTGAGGTACTAAAAATTAGAGAAAGCAGAGAAATGAATGAATGAGATTATCCCTTAATTTCCAGCATGCCCCCCCAAAATAATAAAATTAGGTTTTTTGAAATAAATAACATCTATCATTGAGACACCATTAGCAAATTACTACCAACTACAATATACACAGTTTCTCCTTTTGGACACTTACTTATTACGAAAATCATTTCCAGGCAACAGAAGTGTGTATTAGCAACAGACATTTATAAAATCTCATTATGGGTTTATATTAATGCAATTAGGAAACATTGAAGTAATTTTGAAGGTAACATTTCTGTAATAATTACAATTCCTTCGGGGTTAGAGCTCTTTCAGGATTATTAGCAGAACCAGTGGTAAGAATTTAAATAGATGGAATTGAAGCAAGGTCCAGGAAATATTTCTCTGAGTAATGTTTTCTGCTAGGGGATCTGAGAACCTGAGCACTTTGTGATTTGTTGTCCCAATCTCAAGGGCTGAATCAAAACGGCTGGAAGTCTTCTCATCCCTGGCTCGTGTGTAATAGCGCTAGAAGTGTAGCTGGTAGTGTGTCATCCAGAACAGTTGATGGAGGGCTGGTTCTGACTCATGACAACTCTTGTGTGTTAGAGTAGAGCTATGCTCTAGGTTTTTCAAAGTCTAATTTTCCTAAATTAAGTTCTAGACCTTTCATCAGAGGAACCTTTGGGTTAATGGGAATATCCAACCTTTCCGTGAACAGCCAAGTACACTGAACATTGACCCCCAGGCACCTAGAACATAGACTCCAGAATAAAGAAATGATGTAATGATACTGGAAGCATAAATCCACGAGTCTTCCCTATGGTGATGATAGAACCTAGTTGCTTGGAGGAATCCTTGGATCAAAATACAAAACACATGTCTCTGTTCCAAATACAGTAGCCACAAGCTGGGCATGTACTGCAATGCCCTTTATTGCAGCCAAGTTTTTAAAACAGTGGTTCTCAGCCTTCCTAATGCCATGACCCTCATGTTGTGGTGACCTCCCCCACCATAAAATTATTTTCGTTGTTGCTTCATAACTGTAATTTTTCTACTGTTAGGAATCAGGCGACCCTGGTGAAAGGGTCATTCAATCCCCCAAAGGGGTTGCGACCCACAGGTTGAGAACCCCTATGTGGTGTTGTTTTTAAAAAAATCATTTTATTGGGGGCTCATACAACTCTTATCCCAATCTGTACGTACATCCATTGTGTCATGCACATTTGTACATTTGTTTCCATCATCATTTTCTAATTACTTGAGCCCTTCGTATCAGCTCCTCATTTTTTCCCTCCCTCCCACACCCTTCCTTTCCCTCTTCCCTCATGAACCCTTGATAATTTATAAAAAAATTTTTCCATGTCTTGCACTATCCGATGTCTCCCTTTACCCCCTTATCTGTTGTCCATCCCCCTGGGAGGGGATTATAGGTGTCATTGTGATCGGTTCCCTCTTTCTCCCCCCACCTTCCCCTTGCCCACCTGATATGGCCACTTTCAATATTGGTCCCAAGGAGTTTATCTGTCCTGTGTTCCCTGTGTTTCCAGCTCTGAGCTGTTCCCATGTACGTGCCCTGGTCTAGCCAGATTTGTAAAGTAGAATTGGGGTCATGATAGTGGTTGGGGGGAAGCATTCAAGAACCAGAGGAAAGCTGTATGTTTCATCGTTGCTACACTGCACCCTGTCTGGCCTGTCTTCTCCCTGAGAGACTCTTCTGTAAGGAGATGTTCAATTGCTTACAGATTGGCTTTGGGCCTCCACTCCGCACTCCCCCCTTCCCCACCGCCATTCACATGATATTTTGGAGGACTGCTGTTTTAAAAAGCAAATTTGTGGAGAAAAATGTTACCGTTCATAATACAAGAAATAAATCATGTGTACTTGATGCCACTGTGGTTGTGTAAGTAAAGTGCTCTCTTATTTAGGGTAAATAAAATCCTTCTTAGATATGTCCAGCGAGTTGTTAGTACTTGAATGAACTGTTCCTTGATCCTGTTCAGTCACTGAAGAACAGTGGCATTGTTAGTATTTACCTTTTGAATAGGCTTGATGAGAGCAAATCACCTTTCCTATATTTATCTTAACTTTGTGAATTTATTTAGAAACTCTTTTTAGGTTAGGGAGTCCTAAAGTCGAAAGGGATTCCAAAAGTTGCTGGCTGAGACTCACAGTGACCCTGTAGGACAGGGAAGAGCCCTGTGTGCTCCTGAGACTGTCACTCTGTGAGAGTACACAGCCTCTTTCTCCGGTGGTTCCCAGCTGCTCACCTTGAGGTTGGCAGCCCAATGCGTAAGCCCTACACCACCAGGGCTCCTCTTCAGTGAAGAGAGAGTTTCTTATGTAAAACTGAAACCTGGGTCTTTATCCTTTCTAAACCTGTGGCTCTTAGTCTGGTTAAGAGCCTCAAGAGAATGCATGTAAAGCATGTGCATTTAAGGATGTGTGAATAAGTATATTTTTGTGCGTATATAAATTATCTAGAGCCACATTTACACCATTCTTCGCTCGAGAAGGGCCCAAAGGCTTTATCTGATTCTCAAAGAGGTCCGTGGCCTCTCCCTTCATCAAAGAAAGAAAGAGGACATCTGCCCCTTGGAAAACGGATTCAATGTATCCATCGCTGCTCATTGAAAACCTTTAAGAATATGAACCTTTCTAGCATGTCATCTGCAGGCTTTCTGTTCCTCAGCCAAGCAGCTTTCATCGCTCCACCATTCCTATGTGTTTTCCCCTGGCCAGTTCCTCGGAGTTCCTTTGGTCACGATGCTCCACATAGGAACCGACGAAACCGAAGTCCCAAATCTGAGTGAGCCATCTAGAGAAGCTTGATTTGTAACCAGCTTTTTCCTTCCAGCACAGCCTGAGGATGCTCGCGGTTCTTATGCGGCCTTCACGTCGCACTGGCGGAGTCTGAAACACAAGTGGGTTGTTGCCAGACTCGCTCCCTGCCATCCTGTACTTACTTTATGTCTAATGATGATTTTATTTTTATCTTCCGTCTCACAAAGTACATTTATAGAGTGGGCTAGATTTCAAGGGTTAGAACTTAGCTTTCTCCAGCTTTGTGTGACTTGCACATACGTCTTTCATGTTTCTTTCAACTTATTAAAGAAAAGTGTTGACCAAGAGAAACTGCTGGAACGCGACTAAAGAACTGATTTGGGTTGACCTCAATCTGTCAACCATCGGTCTGTTTGTGAGGTTTTTCTCCACATTACAGAGACTCCTAACTGCTCTGCCATGTGGCTGCTATGTGTTTATCCACCTCTTTTAAAAAGTATAACAAAGCTTTGTCGAAGGCTTTGTGTAAGTTCATAGTCACTCTATTTGCGGCATTCCCTGGCAACCAGTAATCCACTCTCGGTCTCTATGGATTTGCCTATTTTAGAAATTTCACGTGAATGGAGTCGTGATATTTCGTCTTTTGGGTGGACTCTTGCCACTTATCTTAATGTTTTCAAGCTCCACCCATGTTATAGCATGTAGCAGTATTTCATTCCTTTTTATTGATGAGTCCTCTTCTAGCATCTGTATGTTCCACCTTTTATTTCTCCTTTCGTCAGTTTGTGGACATTTGGGTGGTTTCTACATTTTGTTTTTTATTAATAATACTGTTGTGGACAT